CTCTGAGTGTGACCCCCCCCCCTTACAAATTAAAAATACTTTTTTATATATTTAACACCATTATAAATGCTGGAGGCAAAGCGGGGCTTGGGGTGGAGGTTGACAGCTCGTGACCCCCCCATGTAATAATCTCACGACCCCCTGAGGGTCCCAACCCCCAGTTTGAGAACCCCTGGTTTAATCTATTATGAGCTGAAAGCTAAGTATTGTCATGTTGAGTCACGGTTGGGTGGGAGACCTCCAAGAACACGTGGGTGCTGCACGAAGGGTGTGGGTGCAACTCTTCCCTCTGAGTCAGTCCTCTGAATTATGATACCCCAGCACACTGGGCTGTGGGGGCAGGGGCAAAGGACAAAGCTATGCTGGTAGACATTTTAGGGTTTGGAAGAGCTGTAAATCAAAGTACTGAATACTTTTGGTCATTAAGTATCCCATGGCACTGAACACAAGTATGGATGTGTAAATCCTAGTATTGTGGCTAAAATTCCAATTTAGATGATAATAGTGTGCTTACTTACATTTCCCCTTATAGTTTCAATTGAATATGGTATTTTTCACTACCTATCCTAAACTGTTGTTCAGTCTTGCTGCATGCTGTTACAGTTGCACTGCAGTTGAGATCCTTGTGAGTTTGTTTGTAAAGTGGTTTGGCATGAAAACTGTTAGATGTGAATACATTTAAATGTATTCATTTTATTTTTAAACAGATAGTGTCAGTGTGATGTGGTAAGGATACTTAGGCCAAGTTGTGGGACATACCTTCAGCTGGTGTAAATCATGTCACTCCATGGAAGTCAATGAAGCTATGATGATTTATACCAGTTGAAGATCTAGCCTTGTATCTACAATTGCACATGGAGCTCACATTTGGTATCCGTGGAAATTCTGCATTCATAGTTTGTGAGACCTAAGTGATTTGAGGGAGCCCTGCAAGAGGCTGAGGTATCAGTAGTTACATACATTATAAGAACAGTATTTGAACCATGAAATTATGCTATAAGAGCGAAAAATAGGAGATTTACAAAGTATTTTTCCTCTATTGTCTCTGCTTGTTAAAGAAACAATTCAAATACATTAAAGCCCTGATCCTGCAAAGACGTATGCATGTGTTTAACTTTAAGCATGTGAGTAGTCCCATTGCATGTACCATTGACTCCAATGGGACTATCCACATGTGTAAGTCTTGCAGCTACCTAAGGTCCTTATCCTTCAAATTAGAGATGCTCACCATTGTTCAGACAGGTGGTACATACATATCTTAAATTGTATCGTTCCCACTACATGTTTAGTATAATAAAAAAACACCGTTTTTAAATATACAGAGAAAAGACAACAGTGTTTTTCTCTTTTTAGGAACCAAGGTTACATTCTGTGAGAAGAAATTTTTCACATCCTTCATCTGTGAGTTTGAAACCTCGATATACACGAAGCCCTCACTTTCATCCTAGAAAAGACTACAGAATGGAAGATACAATTCTCACTCCACCTTCCTCTACAGACTCTGTTAAATAGACTCTTAGATGTCTACTATGCTAATATGTCTAGCACATGGAGGGTATGTAATTTAGTAACTCTCAACATTTACTGAGTATGCCTAAATTAAAATGGCCTTTTTTTTTGTAAAAGGAATAAAAAGAAATCTTGCAGTTCATGTCAGCAAACACAGGATATGCAGGATAAAATCATGGTTTCCTTTATCAATTAATGCATATTTAGGTGACAGACTTGTATTTGTGATATACAGACTATTGTATATGCACTATTTATTAAAGTAGTTTGAAAACAGCATATTTGTATTACAGTAAAAATCTAAAATTCATTTTTGTATCAGATACAACAACAGACATTTTCAACATTTGAGACATTTTCTTGCAGACTGACAGCATATACTTGATTTGGATACCAATTATTTTATTTTACATATTATTATTTAAAAATAATTGTATTTTTTCACGTCATGTAGTTTGTGTAACTTTATTTTGTTGTTGTTGAAATCAAATCAGATAAGAATTCTTGCATAGGTGTAATTTTAGTTACTTTGTGATAAGAATTTTTAAGAATATAATTTGGACCATTTGTTTATAATTCTATACCTTTATCTGAGGCTGACACTGTTCTTAAATACAGTAAACAATACATTCATGTTTATATGATTTTTAGCTATAGAAAATGAGCAAGAATTTACTTAATACTTTATATTTTAAGACAACTGAAAACCTGCACCTAGCATTTAAGTATTAATATTTTTCTACAGTCTATGCAGGATTAAAAACTCATTGACTGACTATATCATGTGTTGAGATGGAAAACAATTTTCTCCTCAGCTGCAAGGACTTAATAATTTATTCCTTCTTTTTCCCCTTTGCCTTCCTTCCATCTATATTATTACATTTTAAATTCCTGATAGATTAAAACATGACTACTGTATTTAATATGAGTGCAAGCCATGGCTTATTGTTTATGTAGTCTGAAAGTCTTTATCTCTACCTTTCTTATATATGTAAAATGTTTTAACCTCTTTTTTTAATTTTTGAACTGCTTGATAGTGACTTTCCAACTGCATTTGCAATATTTTGTTTTAGTTTTATATCAGGTGAAGGTCTTGCAGAGTGGGCATTATATATAGCAGTAGTAGATACATGCACAGATAGTATTCAGTCTTATTTAAAATCCACTCTAGCAATCAGTGGATTTCTTTTATATTGTGCTGGGCCTTATTCGGCTCTTTCTTACACTGGTTTAACTCCAGTTGATTGACATTGCTGAGAGAGGAGAGTCAATCCCATAGTATATAATTTTATTTACTGTTTTAGTAACACTCCAAGACTAAAGCAGTTTTGCACCATTGTTGAACAGAAACAAGATCACACATAAATATGATTTATACCTCTTGTAAAAAACGTTTGTGATGACCCAACAACTGTCATTTTTAACAGTTTATGTCAAAATGTAAATATAACTTGGGTTCTTGAGGATATCAGCTCATTGTTTTGGGGCAGATCTTCAACTGGTTTAAATTGTCATAGCTCCATTGAGACAATCTACGCCAGCTGAGCATCTGCCCGGTTGTCTTTATATTTGGTTTAGGTTTTAGAATTTATCTGAATAGATATGTTATAGACATTTTGGCACATCCTAAAACTGCTTCATCTATGTGAAAGCATTTGCTCAGTTGTAAATACGGTTTTTGTAAGCAAAGGTAGCCAGGAAAGGTCTTGTGTTCTGTTATTACAGCCTTATTTCTAATATCATGAAACAATATACATATCAATTTGACTCATGTTTAGAGTTCACAGTTTTAGTTTGTTCTTTATTCTCCTAAAACATTAGTTTTATTACAATATTTTTTAAATTATAGAGGTCCAAGAAGTAAATTTGTTATGCAGTAATGTGTTCAGCAATTTTGGTTTACATCTGAAGTCTTTTGATCTAATTTCTCAAAGGTGAACAAATATTATGCAGTTGTTGATATGTATATCAGGTAAAGGGTATCTAAAAAGCCCAGATATTCACACATTTATTATTTTCATTTATAGGAACAGATTTTAGATTATAAATATTGACTTTTGGTTTTATTTTCTTCAGAAACATAAGGGGGAAAATAATCTGTGAAATAACAAATGTTAGTCTGATAATTTTATTAGTAATGCAAAAATAAAAGATGGCACAATATCCATTTTGAAAAATCTCTCTCATACTCAATCTGAGTGACTATGCATTTATTTTATAAATAATGTAACACGTTCCCAGTGCTACAAAGGCAGATGCAGTATCTCATTTAAAGATCAAGCTTTTAACTATAGTATTAACTGTCGTTTTTTTTAATTGAAGAGCTCCATTGACACCTATGAAGCTCTACACATGTGCATGGGAGGAGGCCTACCCAAATCAGATTGCAGGATCAGTGCCTATACCAATACTATTCTTTGTCAAGATAATCAAATATGACAAATTTTCCTCCTCTTCAGTATCCTCATCCACTGACAACCTTTGATGTTGAAGCCAAATTAATTTTCTGACTTAGCCACCCAGTTTGTATTTTCATAATGCTAGAAAGCTAGCTTTCAAAGTACTACTAACAACTGATACTGACTGAATTTTGTATTCTAGATAGTTATGTGGCAAAATGCTAGTGTGAACATTTGCTGTAGGGAACACTGGAAAATCATATTTACCAGAGATTTTGACTGACAGAAAAATTACATCTGAACTGATATCAATGATCATCATCGCTCCCAAACATTTTTTATGCATTAGATCAAGGAATGTCATAATGTTAAATAAAGTAGATTTTCCTCTATTTGGATAGTAAATACCTGTTTTGAAAGGTTAGAAGTAGCATTAACACAAAATATTAATCTTTCTTGAGAACTAGCAAACAATTCAGTTTCATCATAAAACAATTTAATTTGCCATTTTAATGTGATTTTTTTTTGTATTTAAGGTATTCTAAAATGCATTTACCAAAATAGGTTGCATTAAGACAACAATTTTCTGTGTCTTATACAATTTTTTTATCATTACGTTAATGAACAAACTGCATTCCAATAACAATTTAGTAAACGCTAACAGAACACATGGCTTTACCTGTATGTTAGCATAGTTTTAAAATGTAGGAAGTTTCAAGGATGCGCCTTTGTTGTAAGATAGGTTTGTAAAAATGTGTTAAAGGTAAAGTAGTGTAGTAATTTCAGCTCACCTGGACTAAAGCTTTCTTCACTTCATGACAGCTCTCTATTTAAGTGAAGAAAACAAACATTTAACAAGTCATTTTTTAAAGAAATGAAAACTATAATAAGGATGTCTTAATGATACATCTGTACACTCCTATCAGAAAACTAGAACCTGTTGTGACAAAAAAAAAAAAAAAAGTTTGAAATGTGGTAAGCACTTATCATGCTTGGCTAGCTGTACTGTGTAGCTCTCATTTTAAAGTAAATACAAAATAATTTATTTAAGACGTAGCAGAAGGGTACAGGTCTCTTTTGGACCTTTTGAGATATTAATATTTTTAAAATATATTTAAAATGATAGCTTTAAGAGAGCCATATTGTTATTTTATACCATAGCCTCTTTCCATCAAAATTAGCTGCAGTTAATAATAAATGTATACATTAAATATAAACAGAATGCTCTTTATGTGGTTCATAATAAAGTTTCTGAGTATTTTGACTTTTGGAAATTGAAGCATGATCAAACTAAAGCTGACATGTGACATACAGTTTAAGTTTTGTCTTATATTAGTATGCAGGATTTTAGCTAATCGGATGAATGTTTGCTTTGATAATATATTCCAGGTGCATTTAATCTGGTTACTGCAGCCTTGTTCAGTAAGGTGCTGTTGATGTACAGAAATAAATGTTTAAACAATAAATTCATAGACCTTAAGATTTTAGTAAACCTGTTACCATTTAGAATAGTAAAACAAACATCTAATTTTGTGTTAAAACTGTTTGTGTGAAATATAGTAATAAAAACAAGTTTCTGTAGTTTGTAACTTCTAATTAAACTTTGTTTTTGTAACTAAAAGGTTAATTCAAATAAATTTTCCTGTATTTACTGCTCATGGTGTAACTTATTTTTGATCAAGTAGACTAGAATAGTGTAAAATGATAAATATAAACATTTGTATTTATCAGGGCATTGTTTAAAAAATGAATTTGTAAACTTGTACAATAAGGCTACTGTATTACTGTCACTTAAGCAGAGTTATGTTTTCATATGTGTTAGATTAATTACACTATCTGTTTAGGAAGTTAGGTTAAAATAGCATCCAGGTGGAGGAATAGAAGTTTCCCTTGGCAGCCTATCAGTTTCTTCAAACAACCAGGAGGGAGATTATGGATTAGGGGATATTCCAGAAAAGGATGTGAGAGAGAACAAAATACATAGAATTTGCCAAACCAAGTAACTTGTAAATGGTATATTCTGTTCTCTGAAAAATAATCTTCAAGTATGTGTCCTTGTGGCTCCCCCTGTAGGTGTGCATGATCCTCGTGTTTTCAGGGCTGAACATGTCCCCTGTGCTACCTCATGCTCTCATGTAAAGGCATAAAGGGTGGAGCAGCTGCTATTCTCCTTCTGTTCCCTCTTATTTCCAGGGTCAGCTCCAGGTTTTTTGCCTCCCCAAGCAACAACAAAAAAAATAAATAAAAGCCGGAGTGCCGCCACCGAAGAAGAAAAAAAAAGACCGGAATGCTGCCCCTTGAAAAGGTCCACCCCACGCCCTTGCTTGGAATGCTGGTGCCTAGAGCTGGCCCTGCTTATTGCCCATGACAGTAAAACTGAACCTGGACTGTGTCCAACCCATTACTGTTTTTGAGCTTCAGACTCAAATTTTTTGTGAAGAACCTTTCTTCACCTTCTCATTAATTTGTTCATTATTCTTTTTTCTTGGCTGTTCCTATACATGTATGTATATAAAAGATGGGGGAGACACCCCCACCAGACTGCTCTACTGCAGGGTGAGCAACTTCATATCAGCTGCTGGCAATAGTGGACTCTAACCCTCATGCGATGGTCTTATGCCCTTATCAATGTGCAGTGCAGATGTCTTTCCTGCCTCTGGGAAGGACACATCCCTGACAAGTGTTCCATCCACTGCTTAGTCTCAACCTGAACCTGAAAATTGAGATATGGGAGTCTCAAATTACATCTCGGAGCAATTGTCAGGAACTCAGCTGGCTTTGGGCGCAGTTGCCTGGCAACTCAATGAGCTTGACTGAGCCCAATAAACTCAAGCTAAGTGACTGTGCTCCCTGATTGGACAGAAGAGCCAGCAAATAATCATTTAAGCCTTGTAACAACAGCAGCTGCTTAATAAGTTCTACACCATACCTGTGCCAGACTTGCTTCCTGTACTGATCTTTGCTCCAACCTGCACCTGTTCCTGCTCCAGCTCTAGTCTCTACCTTGCTCTGCACATCCTGACTCCTGGCTCTGAGCACAACTCTGGTTCTGTACTGACATCTGATTCCTGGCTCCAACCAGTGGCTTGTCTCCTGACCCCAACTCTGGTTCTTCTTTCCAGCTCTGCTCTGACCAGTAGGCATAACTCCTGTTCCAACAACTAGGTCACACCACCTACACCCCCAGTGTGTGTAACAACAATCCATGAAGTTCGCATCTGATCCCAAAGAGAGAGAAATCCTCCAAACTGGAGTTGAGACTAATATCAGCAATTGCCCCAGAATCCAAGTACCATATCACCAGTTCCAGTGGGAAGAGGTAGTCTAAAAAGGTGCCAAGACCACTGACACTGGCACCAGGATCCTTGGTGCTAATCCGATCAGCACTGATGACGATGGCCCCAAATGCATCTGCACCATTCAATTTAGATGCCAAGCAACACACCTGCATCGAGTGCAAGCTCAGACTGGACAACATGCCCATCCCATAAGGAGGACCCAAAACACTACTCCTTCACTATTGAGGGATAGGAGCAAGGCACTGACAATGAAAAAAGGCATGAGAGACTATACTGACATTGACACAGAAATCTACACCAGTACTAACACTGGCACTGACGAAAGAGCCCATCCTACTACAGAGCTGTACCTTCAAGGAACCACCTTCACCCCTCCTCTCAGCATTGAACTCAGCACCATCAGCACCAGACATGTATCCAATGGCACCACCATTACCAGAGATGTACTTCTCCTTGCTGTCTCCAAGCCATTCCTTCTCCCTGGTTTTGAGCCAGGAACCCTCTCCTGGTAGACTAAAATGATAGCTCCAAAAGCACCCCGTACTGGGTACTAGTGCATTACTGTCAGTGGATGGGCCACCTGCAGTCTGGCCATTACCTATACAATTTACCACAATGGCTGTAGTGGCCCAATTGGTGCCCCAGTTTCCCAGAGTGGAGTCCCATCACATGTTTCAGCAAAAAGGAGAGGTCTTGATTATTGTTGACATCAAAAGCCAGCCCCTCTTCACTGGAACTGAGGACCTTCTTTATGAAGCAGCAAAGATTGCTTGAGAAACACTGCAAGTGTCCTCCCCACCTAAGGAATCCTCCTCTTCTCCAGTTGAGACTGTCACCTCAGCCCCAACATCAGTCATCAATTACTTTAGGGACTTCCAAGAACAGCTGAAAGCTTTGATAGAGAGGCAGAAGTGATCCAAGAGAACACACACAAATTGTTTGGTATCCTCAGCTTCGCAGTGCTGACAAGAATTGCTCTTCCAATCAGTGGGAAAATATTGGACTCAGCAAATGAACCATGGCACACCCCAACCTTATTTTGCCCTACTTTCAAACCAATAGAAAAGTTCTGTCAAGTCCCAGCTCAGGGCTTTGAACATTTTATATGCATCTGACACTACGGTTGTTTGGAGTATCTGTGGTCCAGGAAGAGTTCAGGTCCACCAAGGGGACGCCAAAAGAGTAAGGACCCCAAGAAACTGACTTCTTTGGCTGAAAGACTTACTTGTCAGCCTCCCTCCAATTCTGCATCCTGAACTACTTGGCACTGTTCGCAAAATACAGTTTTCTGATGTGGGACAGAGTGACTCCCCTTCCTATCAAGGGTCTGGCAGGACTCTAGGGAGGAGCTGAGATACATCATCAAAGAAGGGCAGATAGTAGCAAAAACAGCCCTACAAACAGCAATGGAGGAGCCCAAAATGGCTGCTTGATCCATGGCCATGGCAGTCACAATGTGCTGGGCCTCCTGGTTACAGGTATCTTGAATTCCAAAAGAAGTCCAGGTAATGATAGAATACTTGCCCTTCAAGGGCATGGAGCTCTTCAGCAACCAGATAGAAAAGGCATTCCTTTCCTTCATGTATTCAAGGGCAATGCTGAGATTCTTGGGAATTTACACTCCAGTGCCGTACCACAAGACATTCCTGTACCAGTCCCCACAAAGCATAAAATAATTTTATTTCCACATTCACCAACTGGAACACTTGCCTAAAAAGCAACCCTGTTAAAACCAGGAGGTGCCAATCATCCTTCTACTCTATTGTGCATCAGGCTCTCTCCCAGAGGCAGCAGATTTGACAGGGATATTGAGAGTCATGTCAACACCATGCCAGAAATTGCCTTGTCCCTACTTCCATTGGGCATGGTCAGAGATTACAGCCAACAAATATCTGCTGTACTTTGTCACCCATGGCTGCCCCATCCAATTCCTTTTTTGGCCCCCTACCTTTGCCCACTACCTTCCCCACCATAATTTTCTCTGTCCTTTACACTGCTCCATCTATTTGTGACTATAGCTAGCTGCTTCAAAGGTCAGGCTATTTCATTGCAAAAACTGTCAAAATGGATGCTGCATTTCATTATGTTACCAGCTGGTTGGTGTACTTCTCCCACCAATTAGTAAGGCTCTCTCCACCAGAGCCCAATCGACATACTTATCGTACTTCTGAAATGTGCCGATATCTGAAATCTGCAAGGCACATGAAGCAACCCACTCACATTTGTCAAGCATTATGCACCGATCTTAACTACTAGATAAGATACCAAGTTTGGGAGAATAGTATGCCAATCTCTATTTAACTGATGTAGCGGATACTACTCATTCCCATGATTCTGAGAGGGTACTTATTGACAGTCACCTTCAGTAGGATCCACACTGACACATAGAGAAGACAGAACGGTTATTTACCCTACAGTAACTGGGGTTCTTTAAGATGTTGTGGTCAGTGTGGATCCCACGACCTACCCTCCATCTTTACTTGTTTGAGTCATGAACTTAGAATTGCAAGGGAACTGAAAGAGCGTTGCAGCCGTTCCGTCCTGTATGCCCTCTCACTGGGTCATGAGGAGTGTCAGGGTGCATGCATGGCCCCAACTAACACTGCTATTCAAAAGATTCTGAGTTCATGCACATGAGGTGCATGCACACCTCCAGTGTGATTCAAACTGACTACATCATCTCAAAGAACCACAGTTATTGCAGGGTAAATATCCATTATTTAATTATGAAATATTCTCTTTAAACCCTATACTAAATAAATTTCTTACTTTTTCATGAACCGTGAAACAGTTCTTATACATTTAAATGTTGCTACAAAGAAACAACTAACTAATGTCGCTATAGCTTTTTAAACATACATTTTGTTTAACTAAAAAAAATACTGACAGTTCTTCAAAAAAAACACATTTACAAGTGTGAGAACTATTTTGCTGTTCATGTAAAAGCAAAGATTTTTTTTTTTAGTATTAGGTTTTAAGATTTAGTATAAGGTTAAAATAATAGTAGTTGCTGGGGGGACTGAGCCAATACTGAGCAATTCTGTATATAAATTATTTGAATACTGAAGTACCCATCCACTTCAGAGTGGATGCTGACATTTTCTACCTTCATTCATTATTCTAGGACTCCTGATTTGGGCAGACAGCATCATCCCTAGATCATGAGACAGTGGTCTTTCTGGACACTAGAAGGGAATTTAGCAGGGAAATGTAATTTAAGGTGAAATAGTTTTGTAGTCTGGTATGGTTCAACTCATGTAACTCTTTCATACAGTGTGCTTTACAGTCTAACTGTTCAGTTCCTCTCAAATTTGAGCCCAAAGTTTCTGAGAGCCTCTCTCATCTTTTTTTGTTCATTTTTTTCTAGATTTTTGAAAGTAAGCCAACTTTAATTTAACCCTTAGTAATAGGAATCCTAAAAGCATATTTTGTACATGCCTATACTTTATTAAATGTCTTATGTCAATAGTGATTGATATAGTTCTTATTAGAATGCTGATCTCTTAACCTTTGCATTCATGTGCCTGCGTCGTCTAAAGACCTGAGCATTCAGACCATAATTATGAGAGATGCTTGGTCCAAATATTCTCTCATTCCTTCTTTTTCTGCCTGTGGGTCTAGGAAGTATCAAATTTTTCCCTGTCAGTTGCATTTGTGTTGGATCTGTCTGAAACCTTAGTAACTAGTAAGATTAGTTTGTTTCGTTTTTAGAAAATTAGTACAGCTTTAAAGTTGCTTTAGTTCATTATGTGGTGCCCATCACTCCCTAATCTCAAAATGGAATATCAGGACAATAGGTCCATCTTTAAAATATGTGCAGTCTGCAATAAGATGTCTATTGCACATCAGCCCACCAGTGATTTAAAATGTCTGTGTGAAGACATCCTCAACAATGCACGGCCAGTGTTACTTTTGCCCCTCAGCTTGGAGTAAGTAGATAGACTGTTTGAGGTTGTCCTTCTCCTCAAAGACCCCTTATGGACTCACTTAGCTCCAACCAGTTGAGTCTCTTCTGAAAGGAGTAGTCTCGCAAGTCAGAGCAAGAAGTCTGATCCAAAACAGTTTCTAGGTCCTCTGATACAGTACTTGAGGTATGTTCTGTATCTCAGAAATCTTTGGTTCCACCCTTGGCTTAATTGACCCAAAGGAGCTATGAAGCACATTGGATGCACAGAATATGGCTTTTTTGGACTAATTACTGGTAAACTTCTTAAATGAAAGCACAAACTATGTATTAACATTATATACACTACAATGGAACAGGAGTAAAATCAGAGAACATAAAACTATTAATTTAATGCATTAGATTTTGGTAGTCAAAGAGAGGTTAGGACTAAAACTGGGTGAATTTTTGTTGGCAAAACCTTTCTTTGATCAAAAATACAGATTTAAGTCAACCAAAACATTTCACAAATTCATGTTGATTTCAGTGAATTGTTCTTGTCAAAACAAAAAAATATATAAGATTTTAGAAATGTCAAAACGGTTAATTGATGTTAAATAAACATCTTATTCTGATTTTGGGGCTATATTCACACACCGAAACCACAGGAGGAGGAGGAGCTGCCCCCTCATAACCTTTACCCCAGTGGTTAGGGCACTCATGTGGGACGGGGGAGATGATCTAGGTTTGAATTCCCATTCTGGAGCAGAGACTTGAATCCAGGTCTCCCCCTGCCAGGTGAATGCCCTAATCCCCAGGTTAAAGGATATTTTGGGGTGGGTCTACATACTTCAATGTTCAGTGCAGGAGGGACTAGAACCCAGGCATCTCCCTCCATCCCTTCCCCAATGAATGTCCTAACTACTAGACTAGCAGGTCATTCTCACGCTCTTTTCTCTCTCTGACAATCCAAAACAAAATTTTTCTGACTTTTTCGATTCACTGAAAATTCCAAAAAATGTTGGGTTTGGTTCAACCTGACCTGAACCAATTTTTTCCTCCTATTTTTTTTTTGAATTGCCAAAAAAAAATATCAATGAATTGTCCAGTTCTAGTTAGGACACTGTATGCAAATTGACAGCAAAATCAAACTCCCTTCTCTCTGTGTCTCACCATAACCAGCTCAGCTGAAACAATACAGTACACGAGACCTTTCCAAAAGACCCCGCCTTTTCAAACTGCTATCCTGATGTAATAAAATACCACACATTAAGCCAAATTCTGTCCTCTATGTTTCATGGGTGCATCTCCCACTGAAATCACTGACTATTATCTTGCTATGATGTACATCCTGGTACAACTGCATGCACTGGGTTGTATGTTAGGGCAGAATTGGAACCAGTGACTTCAATGTGAGTTCTGTTCCTGCACCTGAAGACAAAATTGGGTCTACTGTGTCACTTGTGTCTATGTTGTTGCTACACCATATCCCATTTTCTCCACTGTAAAAAGCTCTTTTATGTTACAAGTTCATAGAGCTGTGTGATGTGATTTAAAACCATCTCTTTACTAAGATGAAAATCCATTGCTGTACTAATCACTGTAGCAAGTCTGATAAAAGAAAAGTCTTAGACTACTTAATGTACTTGGAGAATGGAAGGGAAATGGCCACAGAACTTTGTTCATACTGCATAACTTGAAACAACAGTCTCTTTGGTTTAACATAAGGTGCATTTTAGTATGACTTTTTAAAATAAAATATAACAAAAGTTGAATTATCTTATTAACCTGGATTTTTTAAAATAAATTTTATTGTAATCATATATACTCTTCTTGCCAAGAAAATTCTTTATTACAGCATGATCATGTTTGCTTTTCCATCTGAAAGAAAATTCCTGTGGAAAGAAAATAGGAACCAAACTTTCAAATCTAAAATAGAGTCTAAACTGCTTTTCATTTACTTTCCTCCCCTTTGAGATGCCAGAAGCAATTTCCTCTTGAAGCTGACTTCCTTTCTGGAAATGATTTTCGTCTCTAACCATGTTGAGACTCTCTTTTCTCATTCTTTCATTCTGACTTGCTCTTTTTCCTCTCATTTACAACTGCATCTGAATAGATCTTCTGACAGTAGGTAATTATATATGTTTCCCTCTAACTTTATTATTTCAGTTCTTTTTTGCCTCATTATCAGTCAGCCAAGAGGGATAGACAAAGCACTATTGGTGTCCTCTGCAACAGAACGCTAAGGGGGGGGCTGGCTGTAAATTGACGTGGCATGGAAAATCTCTGCTAAGTTGTAGCAGCTTGTACGTTTCTGTAAAATCAAGCCCACTTTTGCTGAGTTAGTAGCTTGAAGTCATTATGGGTGCAATGCTTATATGAAAAAATTAATAGAAAATGTCTTCACTTTCTAACTTGGGAACTGAAATTTTTCTGTCTTTGGATTTATGGCTACTAGTAAACAAAATCCAAGGCAGTGAAGTTTGTTACTTCTTTTTTTCAGAGTAACAGAACTTGCTGCTTTCCCCACCCCCTTTCCTGCAATTTTTTCTTTGCAGATCTTGCCATGGGGTGCGGACTACGAAAGCTAGAAGACCCAGATGATAGCAGCCCTGGAAAAATATTTTCTACGTTGAAGAGACCGCAAGTGGAAACAAAGACTGACTCTGCTTATGAATATGTATTGCTGGATTTTACTTTAGAAGGTATTTTTCTTCTATTTTATATCTTATAAGTTCTTGCAAAAGGAGGAATTACATTTTACTATTTTTATTTCTTCTGACTAAAATAAGAGAAAGTGTAGTTCATTTACCTTATCAAAGGTAATCAATATACCAGCCTTTTACTTGGAAATATTAAATATAAGGTCCTCAGATAAAATTAAAGTTGAAACTTCTTACATATTAAACAAAAAAAAAGTTACACAGTTGTCCTTATTAAGGAAACTGGACAAAAATTGCTTGAAAGATTTTCCTAGATTCCTGTGAGCCAGATTCTGCCATCCTTATTGACTTTGAGTAACACACACTCACATGAGTTTAGTGTGGCTACTCACAAAAGTAAGTACACTCAGCGTGAAGTGGTGGAATCGCCCTAAATGAATAACTCTTTTTTAAAATGTATTCATCTTCCAAAAACCTATACTCATAACTCATTACTTTATGTGGAAATAGCTTCTAAGATGCTATAAGGAAACATTTTTTCAGCCTTATGGCAGATATTTTAGTAAGAATCTTATAGACTAGTTATTAATGAGCCTATTTTTAAATCCTTCTTTCTACATCTTACTTTGCAACTGCTTACGGGTATTTTAAAATTGTGCCTGAAATAAAATTAAAATCTCTATGTACATTTAGAGGCAGACAGTACTCTGTGGGGTACTTCCATTTGCAGGGTGTCCCGTCTCTAACAGAGTAATTCCCTGTTCCAGAAAGTTGAAACACAAATAAACAAGCCCAGATGGCTGCCCTCTGACAACAGACAGCTCTGTGCTGCAGTTACTTTGTAGGACCTCACATTTTATAACTAACCGTTTTACTAGATGTTCTTGTTGGCTGGGATTTAAAGTAAATACACTGATAAGTGGAAAGAGTCAAAAGGGGGGAAATTGTGATGTTATCTGTTATGTGACTTGGTACAGGAATATTTTAATAAATATAAAAGTCTGACCTCTATTGAACTAGGTATTTGAACTGCCAGATTACATTAATGTTCATGTTTATACATATTGAAATGTTGATGATTAAGTAAGTGGCATGACTTGATGAATAGAAAACATAATATTGTACTAAATTATAGTACTTGACAACCAACAGTATTTTTAGCTTTTAATTAGAAAGAGGAGTTGTTCATTCACGTGTTTGGTTCCGGAAACAAAACTTCTTTGTATTGAGAAGTAGTAGTAACAATATACTCCAGGACTAGAGCTGGGCTGTGTAATACATAAATTAACTACCTGCTGCTGTATTGCTATGAATGTGTAGGATAATAAAACTTATTTTCTTGACTCTGAAGTTTGTTTGGAGTTTCTAAATATTTCACTGTGTTCTAAATCATATTTTTAAGCACAAAAGTTTATGAAAACAGTGTGGAAGGGATGTGTTTTAAAGAAGTTAGTTGTTTTCAATGTTAAACTCAATATGTACTTAGTACGGGTGGGAGGGAAAGATGGCTCTTTTAAGCATCATCATATGTAATAACCGGTGTCGCATTGCAAAAAAAATTATGGCCATATTTTCAAACCATGGTGCATATTATTAGACTCATGAATCCATATTAGGCACTTGACTAAAAGTTATTTGATATTCAGTGCTGCCTAGTACCTCTAGCTTGCATTCACTTCATTGGGAATTATGGGTGCTCAACAACATTGAAATTCAGGTAACTTTTAGTTAGTTGCCTAAATATAGATTTAGGAGCCTAGCTTTAGGCACCTAAGTTTGAAAATATAGGCCCATCTGTGAAAAACAATGTCAGCTGTGTGCATATATTTTATATTCTCATGTACCTCTGCCTTTCAGAGCTAGGTTTACATGCACACACACAATATCTCAGTACACACTTGCTCTCGCCCTCTTTTACTAGGAAAATTCTAAACTATAGTGAACTTTGGTTTTGGTCATGGAATACAGGGAGTGGCCAATTTACTGTAGGGCCTGTTTTGAACCTGTACCTTTTCTCCTTCGTATAAACTATCAGCTCCATCCTGCATCTTGTTGCACCAGTATCTTTGGGATAAAGGGAGCTCTATTAAGAGCTCAGTTAATATAGTTTATGATCAACCAGCATGTATCACTTCTGAGCAACATGAATCTCATGCTGTCAGAGAACTGAATGCTGTCTTCATAGCACTTTCAGTGTCTACTGGTTGAGGAAAAAGAAGATCGTGCCCAGCATGTACTGCTCATTGTGTGAATTTTTATACCTAAGTACCTGATCTGGGCCCAAGTAAAAAAAATTAAAAATCTTATTTTGACAGCCTTTCTATCCCCACTTTACATATATTATTGTATACTGGGATGAAAGTATAACAAGCATAGCGTCTAAACTCAACAAGTTTATGGTCAAAGAAACAGAATGAAGAGCTTATCAAGGAGACTATTAAAACACACTGATTTTCTATCAAGCCCTTACACCAGTTAGAGCAGCCTAGGAACTATCAACCAACTAAGCAGAGCTAGAGCACATTGTGATCTGGCTTCTCGTTCTTGTCCCTAACATGCTCCTTCCTAGCTGCAGGGATGGTGGCTTAAGACTGGCTCCATGCCCACTGGAGGCTCCCCCACACCAGGAGAATCCCTAGGTAGGAAGATACAATCAGTCTTCACTTTGCACCACTTGAGTGGAATAAAGGGAGTGGGATAGAATAGAGAATCTACCCAACTGTGGTATTAAGTGTCCATTTCTTAGTGCCAATTTTATCTCTGCAGCTATGAGGTGTGTCTCACATAAACAGCTTGACTAAAGTATTTTGGAAGGTCAACTAAAACGTACATGGGGATCACTAGAATTTTCCCCACACTATATAGTGCATTATGCCTCCTTCATATCTCTTCTTTTAGTAGAAAGGGGAAACCTGTGTCTATGTTCTTCATATCAGCCTTCTGAAATTTCAAACAATAAAAAGTGCCCTATCATTTTGAATAAACACAAATGTATATAAAAAATTGATTTGCCTTCACCTTTTACATTTCAAATGTCTGGGTTATATTATTGTAACAGTTTTGATTGGCTGTTGTGAGAGAACACAATAAGATAGAAATTCTGTTTAAAATTTAGAATAGTTGCAACAGTTTGCAACATGAGGTAAGTGGGCCATGCCTTACACATACCTGCTTTTTTGGCTGTGGCATGCAGTCTAAGCTATCCCATATGTGTTTTCAGTAGACCTGAACATGTCCATTGGCTTCACTATGCAGAGTGTGCTTAAAGGAACTATGGTTAGGAATCTTATAGCTCTGTTCACTTAGGGCTCAATCCTGTCATCTTGCATGCAAAGGGTGGGGGGAGAAGATATTTTAAATGAGCCTCTTTTCCTACACCCCACCTCTACACAACTAGCAAGAAATGTTGCATTTGCACTGTACAATAGTCAATTGTAAGGTACAGCCAGATAATACAATAGCCCTTGCATCATGTCCCCAAGGGAGCATAGTTTGTATTAGTGGGAGTATCTAGATTTGTGTCTGCTAGTGCCCATTCTGCCATCAGTGCATATGTGGGGGTGCATGTTGTTCCTGCCCAGAGGAGCAAAAGAATGTTCCCCACAGTGTGTTGTCCAGCTGTTGTCAGAAATCTGCCCTGTGCCAGCAAGATTCCTGTGGCAGAGGGCACAACAGGCATCAGGCTTTCCCCCCAGATACAATTTAATAATACTTAGTATTTACACAGTGCTTTAATTTTTCAAAGTACTATACAAACATTAACTAATTAGTCCTTAAAAAACCCTGTGATATACATGTCAATATCATCCCCAGTTCACACAGGAGAACCAGGCAAAGATAGATTGAGACTTTGCAGACCACACTGCAGATCAGTGGCAGAGCCAAGATTAGACATCACAAATTTAATCTTAACCACCAGATCCCAAAAGGCTGATTAAATGAAAGTGTCACGGTCAGTTACATATTCTACATGTGTGTTTACATGAGATATGGAAAATAGGTGCACACTCTCTGATTTGTACATTAGACAGACCCTTTACATGTGGGGAGAAGACATGCTGCCATGAGTATATTGTGCTACAGCACATCTCTTTTCTGGGGGGTGATTAAGAAGAGGGAGATAGGGAACCTGAATTGAACCATAAGGATTCCATTTTCAAAGTGGTGTCTTTATCATTGTGCATTTATGTACTTTTGCCCCTTTATATCAAAGAGGCTGAGGTAAAATCAAAGGAGAGTGAACTCATTTAAATTTAAGTTATTTTCTTTTGAGAGGGAGAGACAGACAAAGAGAAAAATCTTAAAACAGCACTTAAAGGGCTTTTTAAATCTAAAAACTACCATCATGGTTTCGGTATTTAATTCCAATCTGAGTCTCACATTGATACTATTGAACAACATAGTCCCTTCCTTCTCTTCATCCACCAAACGTAAAGTGAAAAAACTAGGAACTGTAAGAACTCTAAAATGAACTAAAGGACTTGCAGCAGGTGTTACTGCTGGAGAGTGTCAAATTCCAGTCAAAACAATCTCCTCTCTAGAGTCCACAGTTGTGCAGTGGGATAGAAAACATGATACTGACAACTGTATCTGGGGTTGTAAGTGAGAAGAGTGGTTCTGCCTTCTGTAAACACTGCTTGATTTTCAGAGAGGCTGAGCACCCACATCTCCAACTGAGAGTAGAAAGTACTAAGCACCTCTGAAAATTAGACCATTAACCTATTATGCAAGAGTGTTTGAACTAGTGAACATGAAACAATTCTTTCTATCTGTGCAAAAGCTGTGGGTCATCTCCAGCACAAAATAAAATGTGCCTCCAAAAGTACTCGTTTGTGTTTCTGCTAATTCAACTGAAAAATGTGACTATATTGAGCCATCACAGTTTGAGCACAACTCCCCAGTGTGACCAGGGGGAATTCTGCTAAAAACTGATGGCATTGTATGGCCCCTCGCTGCACACTGTTTGATTTACTTTGGGATGGGATAAGGATAGTATTAGTGTCTGAGGCCTTGTCTACACAAGAAAAGTGTTCTGTTTAAGTAAAAGTGTGATTTTTTAAACTGGTTTTGTTAAACTGGAACAAGCCTCCACATGAACATTTATTTTGCTCTAAACCACACTTATTTCAGTTTAGCTTAAATTGATTAGGAATACGTTACTCTTAAACCAAAATATAAGTGTTCACACAGGTTTGCACTATTTTAACCAAATTGGGTTAACAATTGATTTAAGTTAAACCAGTGCAACTCTTTCATGTAGACAAGGCCTGAATCCCAATTTAGAAAGAGAGTTTTTATTCTGTTCCCTTTTTGTCGTCTTCCTTTTCATCAGGAAGGGTTGTTGGAGGTATAGATGCAGACACAGCTCTTACGGTCTATTAATAAAGCCAGACAGATCATTAAATTGTTGCCAAACTGATTAAAAGTTACTCTGATCTTCCTATTTTGTAAGATGTATAACTTTATCATTGTTTTTACTATCCCTCTATAATTCCTGGTCAACTGTGCATCTGCTATATTTTGTATATCTGTATAGTGGGGAATATAGATTTATTATATCTTTTGTGCTACATTAAGATATAGGTAAGTAGCTTATTTGTATGTATGAACACATGCATACTGAGTAACATTTGTGCATAATGTCCATGTTTTCTGTTCATTCAATTCCTTTAGTGTCCTCAAATCCAGAAGTTATCAAGATCAGTTCTGTGTTGGATATAGCAACAAAAGTGGAAGAATATTACATCAAAGGATATGTTGTAGGAGCAATTCATCCTATTATATTACCTGTTGGGCGAAGAAAGCACTTTCCTGCAAGTTATTTGTATCGAGTGGTACTATCACGACTCAAATTAAGGTAAAATATGCAGAGGAGAAAAATTATTTGAATTAAATGACATAGAACACATCGCTTCATTAATATTTTTAAAATTTGCAAATGGCTTTTCAACATGCATTCCTTGTAACTTTTAATACTAATCAGGACATTAGAAAGCACCTTCAAGGATGAACCAAGGGCTGAATACTCAAAAGCAGTGTTTCTCAAACTGGGGTCGCCACTTGTGTAGGGAAAGCCCATGGTGGGCCAGGCTGGTTTATTTACCTGCCCCCCTCCGCAGGTCCAGCCGATCACGGCTCCCACTGGCTGCGGTTCGCCGCTGCTGGCCAATGGGAGCTGCTAGAAGCAGCAGCCAGTTAGTCTCTCGGCCTGCGCCGCTTCCAGCAGCTCCCATTGGCCTGGAGCAGCGAACCGTGGCCAGTGGGAGCGCGATCGGCCGGACCTGCGGATGGGGCAGGTAAACAAATCGGCCCAGCCTGCCAGGGGCTTTCCCTACACAAGCGGCGACCCCAGTTTGAGAAACACTGCTCAAAAGGGTTTAGGTGTTGTGCATCACAATGCCAAACTTTTGGGCACCTGAATAAATCACTGCAATTCAAAGTCTGAATTATGACGTAGGCTCCTGTACATGAATGGGGAGAGATAGGCACCTTAGAATGCCATTCACAAAGGCCAGCAGGCTCTGCACGGAACAGCATAAACTAGCAAATGGGAAATGCTGACCAGAGGTGTGTGTTCTAAGCCCTACTTCTCACAGAGATAAGCACCTAAGACTAGGCTACAGGGAAGCACGTATCTCTGTAAGTCAGGAAAACCTCTTTTGAGTTAGGGCACCTATGCCATTTTAGCAAGAAGACGGATGTCAATCTGTCCTGCAGTGGCTCAAAAGCATAAGTACCCAACCTCAGGGGAGACTGTCAAGAAGCAGGGCACAAACCCTACATTGGTTGTGAGTTCTATAATTAGATTTCACCAACCAATTACCAAGTGTAAACTCTTCATGTACTATAACAGCTTTAACATGGAGCCACATACATTCCCCTTGGGTACTCCGATCTGTCTTGCTGCCCAGGTAAGTCTACCTTTGATAGATGGTCCTTTACACCAAGGATCACAGCAATGTTAAGGTTGCTCCCAGTCTCAAAGGACCAGTCACTTATCCCCAGTCAATTGCACCTTAGATCTCACACCAAAGACAATGCTTGTAGCCAGTCCTATAATAAACAATCTAAAGATTTATTGTACAGGAAAAGGAAATGAGAGATCTTTACAAGGCTAAACCAGATGACATACACACAAAATGAGTTACAATCTTAAGTTTCAAAAGATAATAGAAGCAAACTCCATATGTCCTTTAGGGCTAATCCAGGCTAAGCACTGGGGTTCTCTTGCTTATGCCTAGAAAACCTTACCCCTCAGAGTCCAGCATAGAGATACAATTAAACTAACTTCTTGTTAGGAGTTTTTATTCCCTTCCCCACTTGAGCTCTGAGCTGCAAACTCAGCGGATGGGAGGAATTCACTTGCATGACTCATCTTTATGGGAGAGAAATCAACAAATTGTTTCATTGTCTAATGTTCCACAATCCTTCGTCTGGTGTTGATGGGTCTTCCCTGCTGGGCAGGACACGACACCTTCAGTGGGATACCAGCATTTCACACTAGTAATGTCTCTCTCTTGTCTAGTGATTTACACAGTTACAGAGGCTTACAATACAAATGCTCAATTATCTTCTTATAATATGGGATACAGATGTTAAGTGAGATTAATGCATGCAGCAGCTTACAAGCATCCCATAAAGTCTAAGCACTAAACATATTCTTTTCATTCTAATACCTATTTTAACAATACTAACACACAGGTGAGCCAAACTGATTCCAGCTACGTATGTGTCAGTATTCAATTGAGGCATGGGGATCTTGGCTGGTCTGCCAGCATCATACTGGGGTGGGTAGGGAGGACCACCCTCGTAACATATAATCCAGTGGTTAAGGTACTCTTCTGGGAGGTGGTAGAGCCCATGCTCCAGTCCCCCCTCCACTTATGGAGGAGAAGCAATTTAAACAGGGATCTGCCACTCAGAATGAGTGCTCTAACCAGTGGTCTGTGGGATATTCTGATGTAGGGAGTCTCTCCCTTTCTCCTGTTAAAGCTGTTGCACTGTGGATAAATAATGAAAGACCCACTGGATCAGGGGGACTAGATCCTGGGTTTCCTACATTGTGGATGAGTGGTCTAACCAGTAGGCTACAGAGTCACTCAGGCTTGTGCTCTCCAGCCTAAATAACAGGGAGAGACAAACGAGCAGGAGCACGCACAAGCATGAGAATGACTATAGCCTGGTGTTTCGACCACTCACCAAGTAAACAGGGTGTAAATCTACCCCTCACTAGCCTGCTGCACCATTAGTGTCCATGTGGACCCTTCTACTGTGCATCTACCCCACCTCCAAACAGAAGTAGCCCAAAATCTCTCTCTGTGGGCTTTTTCTCAGAGCCATGTTCCCAATGCTTGTTCTGGCTGTGTTTGACTTTTTGCTGCTTCTCTGTTTTTCCTGACTCTCTCACACAGAGACACATCATTCCAAACCCTCTCCCCCCATCCACCTTTGAGTTTATAAGACCACTGTGGAACCTGCTTGGGCCACATGATTCAGCTTCTGCTGCAGCCTTGCCTTTGTTTTGGGCAGAGGCCTCTGATGTTTCAGCTGTCTGGTTCCATAAAGAAACATAATTGTTTCTAACATTTATCCCAAGTGAGTGGCAGCTGTTACACCCACCAGTTTCAACGGGGGTTTAACCCAACCCAAAACATTAGTTACCTTGTGAGTATACATTGCAAGTATTGATTTAAACAAAAACAAACTGAAAAAAGCTGTTGTGTGCCTTCTATGGAACAATTAGTAACTATTAAGACATGCTAGCTTAAAAATACCCAGTTACAAGCTTCTCTTCCAGTTGCCTCAATCCCACATTCATTCATGGATGCTTAGATTTACAGAGCAACAGTGAATACTTCCTGCCTTGTCTTAAACTTAAAACAAAGAGAGTCCTTAGGTTACAAGGTTGCAAGTTGGTCACTCTCCTGTTTGTCCTAGCTATTAAGGAGCAAACAGATGTGCCTGTAGTGGGCATTCTTTGGTAAGTTGCCTTCAATCAGCGCCTGGAGGAGTGAATTCATTTGCAATGTGATTCTACACTGAAATGTGACACTGTAAAATTATATTGTGGGTTCAGTTTTCTCTCAATGCTTGCAGGCCAAACTGGCTCAACTGACTCATAAAATCATACGTTTTCTCATAATCAACCATTGGGATTACTAAACTTGGGATCTGATAATCAAGCTATGTTAATTCTGACTTATACAGCATCTTAAGTCAAAGTTTCTACAATCTAGCTAAAAGTTCTGCTGATACACAAGTCAGGAAACAACCCAATTTACTCTCATATAGCTGGAAAGAGGAGGAGGAAAGAGTAGTGAAAACTGTGGCTGATATTCTGTACCTCTAGAGATGCAGCACAGAAAACTTTATACTGCTTTTGCACCCTCCCTCTTCAGGCCTCTGAGGACCAGGAGTTGCTCTAAATTACAGTGCCCCTGCCTGACCACTGCAGCATATATTTGCCATTGCAGGAGGGAGAATCCCTCCCCACACTCCTTTCTCTACATCCTTGCACTATGGGGATTCTTTTACTGCATGCTTCCCCCTGTCCTGAAACCCCTGAAAAGCTCTTGCAAGCTCCACCAGGATCCATGAGTTTGAGTAAGATGGCCTGGGGGAGAAGGGCCCCCTCCTGGTGCCTCCCCACAAGAATCAGTATTTACACTTTGTGCTGTGGATCCCTGTGAACACATCTCCTACAGCTGTGTTTGTGCAATGAAAATACTGACCATTTAAATTGACAATGTATGTACCGTATTGCAATTCTTAATGACGTTTTTCCAAGTAAGCAACTGAATAATAAACATACTGTGTAGCTAAATCTCTCTATTAAAGTTATTTTAGTCACTCCATGTATGCTTTTTTAAGAAGAGATCTTTAATCTATAACTATACAGCACGGATTATACCATGTAATTACTTGATGTAAATTGTAAAATATTGTGTTTGGAAATGACAAATCTGAACAGGGTACTGTGTATGTAGAACTCCAGAATCATGGCTATATTTTTGAGATTAAAATGACACTGTCTAGAACTATTAGCATTTTATGTATATTCACATACATTTATTTACATGCGATAGTGTAAGCTGAGGTTTGTAACATAGTGTGTTTCTATTATTTGAGAACACGGGATTTATTTGCTATGAAAACTATGCCTTTTCACTAAAGTACTTTAATGTTTCAAGAAATGGGTACAAACTTATACTCATATTTAATATAGCTTTTGTTTGTACTTTCACGATAAGGCACAGTGCCTGATATTTTGTGTAAACATAGGGAAGGATCACTTCTAAGCAGAAGTGTGAAAAAAGTATTGCCAAGCTTTCATTCATAACTTTTTTCAAAAAAGAAAAGAATTCTACATGCAAGCATTTTGTGCAAGTTAGCAGCAAGCTGCTGACAAAGTCTGCTTTCTTTCTGTGTTCCAGCCCGAAGCATACAGCACTCAGAAGACAAAGACACCCCAGGCTTTTGATTGAGGAATGTCCTTTAATGTATGAAACACTGACAAATGAGGTTGTGAAAGGATTGTTAGAAAAGGTATGGCAGTTTTTGACAAAAAAATTAACTTCTCTGCTCACAGGATTCTTAACTGTAACGTATGTATTTACATTTACAGGTGAATTATTTTTCAATTTGCAAATTTTGACCTTGTTTTCTGGCTTATAAAAACTACCAAGGCACTCGTTTAACTAAGAAGGAAGTGTTGCTTTTTCCCCTTCAGCACTTCTGACTTTGTTTAGCACTCTGTCTTGAACCCATTGAACTCAAACGGAGATTTCCACTGATGTCAGTGAGAGCAGGTTCTGACCTTTATTTTGTTGTTTTTCATGGTTTAGGCAACAGTAATCAAACTTTCTGTTGGGATATGCACATATAGTAGCTCCTTCTAGAATTTTGATGTAATATTGTATTAAATTAAAATCTGAAAATGCATATTTATTTGTTCCTTGTTAAGTAATATACTCAAATAAAACTGACATCTGTAGATGGATTTTCTAAGCAAGGACAAATAGATTGTCTCATCTCATTCCGTAAATTACAATAGGCATGCAAAAGTGTTGCTTTTATAGAAGTATTTACCTTTGATTACTTATGCAGTAAATCTTTTAAAAACTAAAGAACATTAAACTTCCACTCTAATAAACTTTGTCTCTCACTTCCTCTGCTAAGTTGAAGACAAGAAAGTTTTGTTATTACAAAAATTATAGTTATATAGTTGTCTAAATTAGTTGCTAGGGAAAGTTTAAAGGAAGAGCATCTTTAAAATATTTTAAGATCATTGAGGTTGTGGCTGAGAGAGCTATTTAGAGATTTTAAATGGCTGTATTAGAAGTACTCTGTAAAGTAATCAGAATTTAAAATGAGACAGTTTCATGTTTATACAAATTTGCTTTGGTAAGTCAGATATACATTAATACCAAATACATATATTAAATTATAAATAAACTTAAAATAAGCATTTGTTCAGTCTTGTACAAGGAAATCTGAAGTATAAGCATTAGAGGAAATATTTTTATTAGTCAAAAAATTATCCTTGAATTCAAATCTTTCCAGTATTTTAAAAAATGATTGAGTTGATAACCCATGGTTAAATCTTTTAAAAAGTTAAAAATGTAGTAATTTGGAGGGGGAATGTCTCTTGTGCTTCTAAATCCTTTAGGCACTTTTAAAAATCTCCCTCAACATTACTTGCTGCCCTCAAGATAATTTTGGTTCTGTTGCAAAATGGATACCATTTTTGATCCCAAGTGGCTGCATTTTAGTGGGTTGTGAAGTTCACAGACATGTAATAAAACGTTTGTTATTCTTCTACATGAAAGGTGCTATATACATTTAAGTTGATATTACTAACTAGTATTTTAACACATTTCTTGGGCGAATCATAGAAGCTACCCTGTTTGCAGAATTCCTATTGACTTCAGTGCATGGAGAGCTTGCAGAATTAAGCAAACTGATATTTGCCTTAAAATATATAACTTGAGAACTCCATAATCCTTAAGTACATTGTGTCTTGGATATATTTGCTTGCAAATCAACATCTTCATTTATGGAATATGTGTGACATAGAGATGTCCTATTGTCAACCTGTACATTCACAAAGTTTCAAAATAACTCTATTTTATACATGCAGGTCAATGAAGCTGCTAAAAGAGGGAAGAAGTTTGTTGGATTTATAACACAGCATTTTCCTCAGACTAAATTCTGTAATGGCACAAACACAGATGGAAATGCGGACTCTGAATCAGCACTAAGTATAAAGAGTAGAGAGCACAGGAAATACAATTATGACGAAAACTATAAAAACTGGAATGAAGGGACTTTGAGTGGTCAGTCATCTGAGAGTGGAATAGAGGAAGAAATTCAGCCAGAAAGGGGACAGTTACAGGATGCTGATTTCCCCAGCCCTACTAAACCAAGAAAAGGAGAAGGTAATAAAACACTACCTGTCTATTGCATGAGCAGGATAATTACATTGACTTATAGCAAAAAAGGATAACAAAAATGTAAAGTAAAATTTATTATAGTATATTCTAGCTTATGAAATATAGGTTTTAAAGATCTCTAAGTTTAAATACATATTCATTTTTAAAGCAGCTTGAAAAATAGAAAACAATACTAATTTTGTCTTCTGTAGTCTGTATCCAATATTATGTAGAAATTACCTTTCTCTTCTCATAGAATATCAGGGTTGGAAAGGACCTCAGGAGATCATCTAGTCCAACCCCCTGCTCAAAGCAGGACCAATCCCCAGACAAATTTTTGCCCCAGATCCCTAAATGGCCCCCTCAAGGATTGAACTCACAACCCTGGGTTTAGCAGGCCAATGCTCAAACCACTGAGCTATCTCTCCCCCCAAAGGAACAGTTTAAAAGTGAACTGTTAAAACTTTAGACTGTTAAAGCATAGCCAGTGAAAGCTCATTGTTTTTAGTATTGCAGGCAAATAACTTTGTATGACCAATGTGTGCATAAGAAAACACAACTGTGTGTGCCTGAAAAATAGTGTCCTATCATCAAAGGATAATTGTGTTACAAGATTTGTTACCCTTATTAATCAGCAATAAACTTTTAATAGGCCCCTAAGATTACACCACAATGATTCAAACTCCCTAACTTGAATTAAATTTAAGACAAATGGAACCTGTTAGGTGCTAGTGATATCATTCAAACATATTCCTCTCCATCCCATGTAATGCATAGCAGACTAATCTATTCATAACAGACTGATTTTGGTAACATACCTTCAAGAGGTACCCTGAGGAAACTCAATTTAATGCAATAGTGAAATCAAAGAGAATAATAGATAAAGAATTTATTTACATTAGAGGAAACATGCATAAAAAGTGGATTATACAGAAAAGTCATTGGTGAACATTTTTGTTAATGTGGCAGAAAGCTTAGTTACAAAAGGAAGTTGTAAAGATATTAAAATATACAACCCATTCTGTTTGAGAAGTCATCTAGAACACTGTGACTCTGGATGTCAGGCATCTTTACTTTGGCGATGTGTTCACTGAGAAAGAAAGTGTGTTCTTCTTTAAGTTAGCTGATACATGGTAACTAACATGAAGTAAAATCCTAGAGAAGGCAAAGCAGCTCCTAATTTTCACACATGAACAAGTCATGGTAAAGCTATGAGGGAGTCCAGAGTTTACCTCAACCTGATAACTCATATTACAAACTGCCATGTGTTCCCTAGGACCTCATGTTAGTTCCATGCAAGAGCTAACACAAGTTAAGAACAGACCTTTTTTCTACTAAAGATGCACCCTTTGCGGGAAACACAGAGAGGAACACATGGGTTTCCCTATTAGGCCTTTTTAGTCCATTCATCCTTCCTTCCTTTCTGAGGTGATGGCTATCAACCATGCCAGCCTGCTACCTAACAGGTGGATTTTAAAATGACTATTTAGCATAGTGAATTCTTTCATTATGTACCAGACACATTCAAATTCAATTCAAAGGCAGTTTTTCCACCCTCCTGCTAGGAAGCAAGTACCCTCCTTCATTTGAGGACTGCAAAGAAAACCTATTATTATTATTATTATTATTAAACCTGAATTCAAGTGGTTCTTGTGCAATATGCTGAGCCTTTATAACATGACCAGTTAAAGCATAACTCTTTCCTCCCAAAGTGAAGGCAGGTTTCATTAGTCTCAAAGATTAGTGGAATATAAATATTAAAATTGTAACTAAAAAGTCAGAAATCTTAGTCAGTCACAGCACTCTATACATGGATATTTTTATAACCAGTTTATCAACCAAGACATTTCCTGAATGCAAACATTTTATGGGAATCTTAAACGATTTCTATCCTGGATTTGTCTTACTTTTCTTCAGCTGTTAGTCACACGATCATAGAAGTTATTAGCATTTCTAAGATAATGACCATTGGAAATGTAACATCCACTCTTTTTGAACACTGCATATCACCCTTAGTTCCTTAAAAAAAAGTTACAAGCACACATTTTGAAAAAAATGCAATTAACTGCGTGCCATTCTGCATGCAGATTTGCATCCTATTTTGATATGCCATGTTCATCTCAATCTTTGTGCAGGAGATACAAAATAAAATTACATGTCTGAGTGCCAAATTTTAGGAACAGCAGATGTTCAAGGTTTGAATATCTAGTTCTGATTATATTACTACTGGTATGTAATATCTCTGGTAGACATGAACATTTGCATAAAATTATAATTGCACTAAGATTTTGTGCTTCCTATTAACAAATATGAAAGCATGAAGCAAAAACATTAACTGCGTTAAATTGTGTTACTTAACAGTACTGGTACAGATAAAGCAGTATAAGCCCCTGGTATGGATGCAGTTATACTGTATATAGGGGGTTATACTGTACAGGAACAATACCATTATAAGCACCTTTATACAGCTATAACTGCATCCACACTAGAGGAGTTGTACTCGTGTAGTTATATCAGTAAATCTGTCTGTCTTCTCACACCCTAACCAACATAGTTATACTAGTACAAAAACTGTGTGTAAACCAGGCCTTAAATGATCTGGTCAGTTGGACCATCTAAAACTGAGTGAAAACAAATTATTTTTATGGATGCATGTGTTGTGTGTTAACACAATACTACAAGTAAGTGTCAACTCACCAATGGGCCCCTCCATCAAGGCTGGATATGGCACAGCAGACTCTTCTCCTCTGGGATCCCCTGCTGATGACCACTCCAGCCCTAGAGTGGTTCACCTTTTCTCATGACTCAGCCCTCTAGCCAGGTCACGTTTAATCACACCCCACCTGGGATAATAGATAGTCCAACAAAAACAAATGTACGATCCCTCCATCCAGTCAGCCACACACAATTTTGAGCCGAGTGGTCTGTACACTATTTTCTAAGAGCTTCTGATAGTCCATATTCCCTTCTCATGGGCTTCACACCACCTTTCCAGTGGCTGGAAGGAGAACCCAGGCCTGCCCTCTACACTGCGTTCCAGTCCAGGGTCTCTAGGACAGGCAGTCAAGGTTCATTCCACCAGACTGCCTGCTGCAACCTCCCTTGGCTTCTCAGGCCAGATCCACAAAGCTACTTAGGTGCCAAGTCCCATTTTGTGGCACCACTATGATCCACAACACACACACCACACCACCTTACCCCATATGTTCCTAAACTCTTTCAGCACCTAAATTTTTGCAGTAAAAGTTATCTAGCTGCCTACGTTTCTGCCTCTGGGCATGCACATTCCTGTCTCACTCTAGGCACCAGGATGCCTCTCTCCCACCTAAATCTCAGAGCAGTCCATAAACAAGGGGAAGATAGGTGTGCCTCTGCCTAACTCATGTGTAGGGCCCAATCCAGTAGGCATGGTCAGAAACTACCTAAGTCCACACAAGACAGTGGCCGGGGGTGGGAGGGACAAGGAGGAGCTCCCTTATTACTTTAAGCCCAGTGGTTAGGGTACCCACTGGAATGTGCCCACTTCTGCCAGATGAGAAGGGATCTGAACAGTAATCTGCCACCTCTCGGGTGAGTGCTTTACCCATTGGGCAATAGCGATTCTCACTCTCATCCCAATTAATTGTTAGGCAGTTGTTTAAAGTTCAGCAACTTCAATAGGAGAGATTGAAGGAGATCTACATCAGAATATCCTGTAGCCCAATGGTTAGAGGTGGCAGATTCCTGTTCATATCCCTTCTCATCAGGCAGAGGGGGAACTTGAACAGGGTCAGCAGATCCTCCCTTATTCCAGGTAAAAACTCTAACCACTGGGCTCAGCGTTATAAGAGAGCACTTTCCTGCTGTTTTGTGTGCAGTTAGGCAGACTTTGAACATACCTATCAGATTGGGTACAGTATGAGAGTTAGGTGGAAGAACACTCATCTTCCCCTAGTTTGTGGGTTGCTAGCAGAGATAGGTGCCTAAATGCAGGCTGCAGGGAGATCCTATCTCTGCAAGATGGAAAGGGCTTAGGACACACCCCTCTCATCAGCATCTCCCATTCGCTAATTTAAGTGGCTACCTACCTAGCTTGTGGCTTTTGTGGATTGCACTCACAGTGCTGTTCTTGAGGCTTTCTACACACCTAAAAGTTATGCCCTGCTGCACTGAGCATCATAACCTCTATATCCTTTTGTGTATGTAGGCCCTTCCTACCAAATATTTTTGAGACTGTCTTTTCACCTTGCAAAAGGCTTCCTGTTCTCTACAGATCTCGTCATTCCCTTCTCCCAAAAAAGCAACCACAGTTTCTTCCCTATAGCTTCTTCTGCTCTAAACTTGGTCTGTTTATAGCACTACCCAGCCCTTTCCCAGCTGCATTTCATCTTTAATCACATCTGGCCCACCCTCTGTATGCAACCAGGTAGGTTAATTGGCCTCTTGGACCACATTAATCCTTTCAGAGTCATTATGGGGTACACACCCCATCACAGTAAACTATGCATACTCAACCAACTTCTAATATATAAATTCTGACTTGAATTGTCATTTCTACTTTGGCTGCTGTCCATCACTTCCCTGGAAAAGCTAGATTGCAGATGTTTTAAAAGGAAGTGACTTTAACTAACTGTTGCTAGTAAAATGTTCTTCCTTATAAATAGATGGAAAATACTGGAATTGCTTTTTACCATTTTGAAAAGGACAAGGTTTCACCTTTCAAAAAACTATGTATTTTTAAAGGATAATGGTGGAATATAAAGAATCTATATAAAATGAACTACAGAAATAATGAAACAGTATCATTAAGTAGTACAGATGAAACAAAAAGGCTTTAAACAGTGGAACTTTAATTATCTAGCACTGATAGAAATATCCAAATGTCCCAAGAACCAGATAATACTGAACATACTGTTCACTTAGCTGTTGAGGAGCCTGGCAATTATCTTTCTTCTCTGCACAGCTTTCAATAACATCAGACTTCTGAGTTTTCTGAATAATACAAATATTCAGTATTGTTCAGTTACTTCAGTTTTCTCCATTCTGTTTCCTGGCCTACGCCAAGGCTGAAGAAGAGATATGTAGGGACAGGAGTGAGGGTGGACACTGAGGGTGAAATCTTGGGCCCATTGAAGCCTATGACTAAACGCCCTTGAAGAGCAGAGCCACTTGAGCGAGCTGTGCAAGAAGAGAAGGTCAGGCTCCCTGCATCAGGAAAAACACAGGAAAGGGCTAAAAGGCGTGCTGCAGTGCTCAGACTGTGCACAGATTTGCTGATGGGAGTCAGGTCCGCACACAGACACCTTTCAAGCTTAGTCCCAGAACAAATTCCCCACATATCCCTCATCTCACCCAGGAATATATCCTCTATATATGTTCTGTTTCTAGCTCTGAGGCAGTCATGAAATAGTAAATCTTAAGCCTGTCAATAGTCCAGAGTTGATAAATTGCCTAGTCTTCACCTCAGACTGTGGTCATTTTGGAGGGGGGAGAGGAAACATTTCTCTGATAGGTTTGTTTTTTAGATGGTGCTGCTTGAAGTTGCTCAGAGGTTTGAAATGTTAGTAGTCCCAGGGATTTGATTTGCTGATAAATTAGTCCAAGGTGTGCACACAAAAATGCAGTTTATTCCATGGCTTTGCCCACAAATATATCAGCATGTGGGTGAATGTAATTATATACCTATGTAGTAAACATTTATTTAGCTAAAGCCTTATATAACCAATCACTGCAGTGTTCTTTGATAGGTTTGGATTTGTGGAATTAATTCAGCTGGAACTCCATTTACTGGTGGTTATGTTTGTTGAGTAGAATAGTATTATTTTAATGCTTTGATATAGAAAATAAGTGAGACATTCATGTTTTTTCAGTAGACTCCCTCAAAAATTTAATGATTGTAATGGGTTAAAGGAATACCATCAACTCACGATCTAGTCAATTAAAAAATAAGTTAAAAATCGTTTCAAGCACTACACCTTCCCCTGAATCACCCTGATAATTCTTGTGGTTTTATAATGACATTTTGCTGTTTTTTTTTATTTTTTTCCCTGCCATGTTGCCGTGTGAAAAGATCCACATAAGTAAAGAAAACTGACTAGTAGATTGACAGGGAAACCATAGAAATTGTATACAAAGTACTCTCATTGTATAAAAACATTGAAAGTAGAGAAAAATAATTTGTCAAATAATAATCTTAATGATTATTTGTAATAAAAATAGCAAATAATATTCAGACAGAAGTGTAATTTTTAAGTTGATTGTATTCCTTTAAGGCATCACTTTTTCTGAACGTTTTCTTTTCTTATATTTTCCCTCAGATAAATTATATACAGTCTTCAATGTTTTTGATGATGACTCAACCTGCTGGACCTATCATGAGGGCATTTTGTCTATGAAAGTAACAAGAAAAGGGGCAGTCATTAGTACTCTGGATGCAGATTGGCTAGAACTAACCACATTTTATTATAAACAAGGATTGTCATTAATTGATTCTTTTGTATCTTGGGAAACTTCTAAAGGTAAGTAAGTGTATTTTTCATGAGATTTTAAACCGTTGTGTTTATTTTGCAAAACAGGTCAGATTTTGCTTCTTAATATGGAGGAGCAAATCTGATGTTCCTGTTTGTAAAAATGATGGGTACTATGGTAATTTTTGTCATTGCAACTTCACAGAATGTGAGACCTGATTTAAAAAGGGGAAAAAAGCCTTTCGCTGTTTCCTTGACAGTCATATCTTAAAATAATTGAAATTTTTTGTTTTACCCAGCTCAAAGTTTTCCAAAGGGAAAAAATAGTACTGTATCAATTAGAGCAGCACTTACTGCTAATGCTATTTTATCAAATACTTATTGCTAATAATAATTACATATAGTAACAAAATATTAGGCATAATATTCTCAGAATGCATCCCTAATTCTCAGAATGCGTGTCAACTGCTATTCACAGAAGGCCTAGTCCTGCGATTTGTTGAGCCCTTCCAGTGAAATTCTGAGTACCCTCAATTACCATTGAGTATATAGTGTTATAATTATACTATAAGATAAATACTGAAGACCTGTTCCTGCAGTCTTTATTCCAGCATGATACATTCTGAAGTCAATGAGAGTGTTTTGTGTGTGTTAGGATGGAAGGATTAGGCCTGTAGGGTGAAATATTGGCCTCAGTGAAATAACCCACTGGCTTCACCGGGGCCAGGATTTTACCCCTAGTGTTTTTCTGATAGTATCTATTAACAAACTGCTATGTCCAAATTACTTATACTTTTGTTGCTTATGTACGCCAACAGGGTTCACTTGACCAGTTAGTGCACAACGTGCTGGTGCGCTCTAGAATTTACACCCCAGCTGGTGCACACTAATGTCCTTAAATTTTTCTCCTTGGCTACTGAGTCTTCTTTATCTTTTCCATTCACTACCACAATGTACTCCTCACTTACTAAAATAAATGTAGTAATTAGAGATGGCCCTAAACCAAACCTTGCATCTGAACACCCATGAATTCTGGGAAAGTTTGGAATCTGTTCTAGAGTCAGAGTTCTTGTCTTTAGCTCATCTCCAGTAGTGATACCCCTCTTTTGTAAATGTTGTGATGAGGCAAATGTCATTTCTGATCATTCCAGATGATTAATGCACAAGCATCAGATCACCCACAACTGGTCAGGTGCTTGTTTTGGATAGTCACTGAGAATAGCCACATTATACTTAAACACAACACCATACATTGTAGAAGTTAACATTTAATCCTTTAATCATGTATTATCCAATCAGTAAAATATGACATATAGGTCACTCTAATTACAAAGCTAGCTTCTCAAACAATTCATTAAGGACCACGTTTCTATTAATCATTTAAGTAACAAAATTTCTATGTGATTGGGTATTATGTTGGTTTATAGTTTCAAAACTCTTTAAAAGTCAAGCCCAGATGTTCACACCAGCCTGAAGTTCCATTTATTTCAGTCACTTGGCAAGAGAGGGGGTTATTTCTTCTTTTTTCCAATAGTAGTTAGCCATAGGGTTTGTTGTTGTGGGGTTTTGTTTTTCATTTGTTTTAAAAGTAGCAAGATTTTACCAATGGCTCTATTAAAGGGGTTCTCAAACTGTGGGTCAGGACCCCAAAGTGGGTTGGGACCCCATTTTAATGGGGTCACCAAGGCTAGTGTTGCACCTGGACCCCAGCAAGTCTGAAGCCCAAGCCCAAGCCCCACTGCCCGGGGCTGAAGCTGAAGCTCAAGTCCCACTGCCCAGGGCTAAGGTTACATGCCCCCTACCCAAGGCAGAAGTCTTTGGGATTCAGCTTTGCACCCCGCCCGAGGTGGTGGGACTCAGGTGGCAGGGCTCAGGCGGGCTCGGTCTTTGGTCCCCCCGTCCTGAGGTCGTGTAGTAATTTTTGTTGTCAGAAGGGGGTCACAGTGCAATGAAGTTTGAGAACCGCTACTCTATTACTTCAGGACAGAAACCAATAAACCTGGCTTCTGGTCTCAGCTTTGACACAGAATTGCTGTATTACCTGGAGCAAGTCATGTAGTTCCTCTGGGACTGTAAGCTCTTTGGGGCAGGGACTGATTCTTACTAAATGTTTGTACAGTGCCTATCACACTGTGCCCTAATCTCATTTGATGCTTGTAGCAGGGTCTTTCTTGAACTGGCAATGGACCCTGCCAGTGCCTCAATTTCCCCTTCTTTGAGTTCTCAAAAAGTGTCCCTAACCTCTTTTGCAAATCAAATACTATCCCTTCTTGGGGTCTGGTTTATTAAAGTCACTCAGTTCCAATATCAACTTAAACCAAAACAAGTCTTTCCCCCACTTATTTTTCTTCAACCCTTTGCGGGACTCAACAGTTCCTTCCAGTTCCTGCTGTTTCCTCAAGCCTCTTCCTCTTAAGGTTTCTGTCCTGCCTCTCACTGAAGGTGGCTCTATATCACTCAGTCATCTCTGGATTCCCTCAAGGAGCCTCCCAATTTCCTGCAAGTCTTTCTCCTTGGCTGTACTGAGGCTTCAGCGTCCAGCTTGCATGGGTGCACATGCGCTTGCTTGCTTGCTCTCTATTCTCTACATTCCTCTGGGCAGGGGAGCTCTACCAGGCCCACTCTGAGCTTATCTAGAGAAACCTCCCCATTCTCTTTCCTAACCTCTGATCTAACACTACTTTAAGAGAGCAAGCTCCTTCTTTTAGGAAGTCCTGTCCCTGGGCTACCATCATGTGATGCCTGGTCACCTGACCACCCATCACCTAGGACCAGATGATAAGGCACAGGTAGGGTTGAATCCAAATCCCTTGAAGAGTCAGCCCGTCCTGTGACAGATCCTCTGGGTTCTACTATACTACAAATGATACCTTCAAAAACTGTTTCTTACTAGAAAGTCTGTGGCTTCAGTATTAGACTACTGTACTCTAAGGTATGGTTAATATTTTAATTAAGATGGAATCATGATTAATATTTAAGTTATGTATTCTTCAACTGAATATGATATCAAAAACAGGAAATTATCTTACTGGATTGCAAAAAAAAATTATGTAGCAATTTCTTTTGCAAGTATTTGAAACTGAACTTTACATACCAAACGTAAATTTTTAGTCAAAATTAATTAATACATTGCTATCTTCCTTACCTAATATTAGTTGATTTAAGATTAGAATATAATGCAAAGAAGAGAATATTTTGTAGTAATACTCTGTTAGGTGAACAGACTTGAACTGCTTGACCTATTTAGCTCCTTGAATTTTACTCAAGTTATTTTGTGCTGAATGAAGAGTTTACGTTCCTCTAAAGTGGAATTTTGTCTATTGCCCAAGTTTTGTTGTTTTTCAGTTGTCCTAGATTCTAAATGGTCAGTGTTCTTTTAGAGATGCTTATGGCGGTCGTGTCTGAATGAATGGAGCACAGGACTTTAATTCAGAAAAGCTGCTTTGTAAAAGTTCATTGAAGTGTTTCTTCACAGACTCTCACAAACAGTTTATGCAAGACTCAAACTCATTCTGTGTAAAATAATCAAGTATATTAAGAGTGCTAGCTAAATAATATATTTTAAGGTAACTTTTTATGAGTCATTTAGTATCTACTTGTTCCCTGACAATTCTATCCCCATTATACCAATCAATTTTTCTGTTTATATGACAATTAACTTTTGCTGTGCATCACTTTAAATCTCTGTAAATCATGAGGCCACAGTTCTAAGCCAAATTCATTCAGTGCATGTGTGTTTGAGAAAAAGCTCCATTTTTCAGTTTGCAAACAAACAGGCATCCCAGAGTTGCTAAAGAATTATTTTAAAAGGCGTAGAATATAAAAGTGAGCAAGCACTTTCTGTTATTTGTGACTTTCATCAGACAGCATGATTAAGAGGAGGCGCTCCAAAAACTTTCTCTTTTCCCTCCCCCTTATACAATAATTCCTGCAACAATAACTTAACTTGGTTCTGTTTACCTAGTCTGATTAATCCTCCCACCTTGCAGGGTCATAGAACCTGGGCTCCAGCCCGAGCCAGAACATCTACATCTCAATTAAACAGCCACATAGCCTGAGCCCAGGCCAGCTGCAGGTTTTTAATTGCAGTGTAGACATACCCTTTGACTTCAGTGGGAGTGGAATCATGCCCTTAGACTTTAATAGATTTCTCCCAGTGCTGGAAATAGAGGGGACAATACCTGTTATAATTCATCGAGGAGAACTGCTTCAAACCAAAATTAACCTCAGCCACTGTTGGCCCACAGAATTTCCACAAGCCTCCCATTCTCCACAAGTCCTTACTATTTTGTTCTTATAAAGAACGCTCCCATCGTTAACACCTGGGGAATGTCTTACTTCAGCATTCCACACTGCCTCCTTTGAACAACTGGTGCCTCTGATTCTGCCCAGTCTGATTGTTATATATTGCAGTTGCGATCTTGGGAGTAACAATGCTGGATTAAAATGAATACATTTAAAGAGACAATCTAACATGTGGGTGGGCTTTTCTCCTTCTGATCAAGTGTCTGTAACCCGGGAAAGAGTTTACAAAGGGACTTGAGCTGAATTTAGCTACTGGATTCTTTCTTGCCTGATTTGTTTGTTCTTGACATCAACCTAAAAGAGTTTATATAATAAATTGAATATTTGAGCTGAAATCTAAAACCTTTCTGAACAAAAATAAATCAATCAATCAAATGGAATTTAAACGATGTTTCCCTCCCATCACCTTGACTACTTTGCTTGCGTGTTCCATCCTTTATCCTCGCTGCTTTTTTTCTTCTTCTTTAATAGGTGTTGCGTTCTTTTTAGCAGGAATTGTCTTCCTATTTGTCTGTATATCACCTAGTACATTTTAGGCTTTATTGCAATATGAATAAATAACAACACATGTAGCCCAAACAACTGCAGAAATGGTCATCTGGCTCAGGCCCTATGGAAGTTAAAAAAGAGCATTTTAGCAAAGAAAACAGAAGTATTTCCAGAAGCTATCAGAACAAAACTTGACAGTATTCTGTTTATTAGAGTGGTTGAACTAGTTCCTATTTTAATGCAAGAGAAAGTATAATGAATATTGAGCCACAACACAGTTCACTATTTCTAATGCAGAAAAAGCTATTGTGGCAACATTTTATTTCCTCCTCTGTTTGTACAACTATCTATGAGATATTTTTAAAAATATTATACTCTAGAATTTGTTTTGGGTACTAGCATTAGAAACTGAAACTCCACTGAAGTTGATAGAGTTTCACCAGTCACCAGGGAGGAATTTATCCCAAAATATTTTGTGAATGTCGTAAAAAAAAGCTGGAATTTTTAAAAATATCTCAGAGGTGACTTTTATTTCAATAAGTTTGTAAAATACACAGGGCTGGCGCTTCCACTAGGCGACCCTAGGCGGTTGCCTAGGGCAGCAGGATTTGGGGGGCGGCATTTTGCCGTCTTCGGCAGAAATTCGGCGCCGGGTTCTTCACTCGCTCCGGGACCCGCCGCCAAAGTGCCCCGAAGATGCAGAGCGGAAGGATCCCCGCCGCCAAATGCTCAGAGGAGGAGCGCTGCCACTTAGGGCGGCAAAAACCCTGGTACCGCTCCTGAAAATACAGAAGACCTATCTGACAAGGTTGAAATATTAAAGATGAAAATATTTCCTAGTTTTGACTGTCTATTTCAAGCACCTACCTAAAACCTGAAGAGAAGGTCTGCAGTTAATGAATTTATAGAATTGAACTGTTTGCAAACCCTAATAAAGTGTGTGCAGGTGTATTGTATACACACTCAATCACATACATATATTTACATACACACACATTTACACACCCAACCACATTTTGTGTGTGTGTAAAAATTAAACATTATACACTATTTCTGTACATGCCTGATAGGCATATATGCCTGTAAATATGTAATTTAATTCACATATCTCCAAAAACAGGCAAGATTTACTACAAATGCAGACCCAAAAAGAAGTAAGATTATTGTGACTCTGTTAATACTTAGCATTGATTAGGAAACCAATGTTTGTGATGGTCAAATTCATACCGTATTTAGAAAATTTATGCCCATCTGGTAAAATTCCAAGTCAGACCAACTGTGGAATTCTTTCAATTATTCTCCAAACAAAATTACAGTATCACAGTATTTCTGCATAACCATAAGTTATGTGACAGAGACACTCTTCTCTTTACATTCATGGTATGTTGGAGAGGATTTAAAGCTGATACTGTATTCTGAAGAGTATTTCTATTTTCTGTTTAAATTTAGTTTAATTTTTTTTAGTTTTTAAGATTCTCGGCTATTGAGGTACCACTACAGAAAGGGCTTCCAGATGGCTCTTAGGAGATGCACTATGCTATCAAACACAGAAAATGAACCAACATATGATGCACAGCTTTAGTTTGGGCCAGCTGGATATTATCAAACTCTCACAAGAAGTAAGTCAGGGAGGTGCTCTCTGAAACTTCCTTCCCATCAGGAATCCTCCTATATTTACTTCTGTTTCAGGCTCTTCCTGTGGCCAGTTAATATTTTTTTTAAGTGATTGTGGATAGACACTGTAATTTGTTTTGTTTTTCTTTAATCCTCTCCCATCTCCAACAACCATATTTGTTTTGGTCATACATATGTCATTTCAAAGTTGAGCATAGAGTTTTTGTATCTGTGTGCTTCATAAACAGTGGTTATCTTTCTGTTGTATAAGAAACAGAAATTCAAACTCAGATATGGCACTTGCTTGCTAAAGCTTTTAATAGTATGGAAATTTGCATTTAATTAATAGCTGACTCCCTGTAGAAAAGGGAAAATACCGTATTTTGATTAAGAATATGACTTCATAGCTTACAAAGTGGTGACTGAGACAGCTGAAAAAAACTTTAAAGATCAATTTATTTGATGCCTCAGATAATGTGATTTCAGTGGGACTATAAGCTGTGTATGAAGTTAAGAAGGTGTGTACATCTTTGTAGGATATGGGCCTAAGTCTTTATAGTTCACCTTACACATTTCCTTGCTTCCACAGGAGACCACATGACCAAATCTTTAGAAGGATTATTTATATATGAAGAAGGTGGTTCAGGAGTTCCAGGTTCTAACAGGAAAGGAAATGACACAATAGTTGTAGAACAATGGACTGTCATTGAGGTAACTTGCTATTTATTTACCAATTTAACATTTTATCTTTAATTTTCTGTATTGTTTTTTCTTAGTATGTTTGTATCAAAGTTAGATACAAGTTTAGTTTGCCTTCTTAGAGTCATCTTTACACAAACAAGACTACCATTGAAATCATAAGACTGAATGCTGAATTTGTGTATTTCTAATCAAATCCCTAAAATAGGTAAGTAAGATCTAGCAAATCAGACTCTACATGTAGTGTAGGAATTTGATCAAAAATACATGAAAAATCATCTTTCCCACTTGCTTAAGAGTGGCTTATTTGTTTTACAGACTATGTAATGTTTGAAAATGTGTTTTTAATTCATTTCTTTCTACATCAGTGGTTCTCAAACTGTGGGTCGGGATCCCAAATTGGGGCACGACCCTGTTTTAATGGGGTCGCCAGGGCTGACTTAGACTTGCTGGGGCCTGGGCCTGAAGCCAGAGCCCCACCACCT